TAGAAGCATATGAGAAACAAGAAAAAGGTGCACACTCACAGCGCCCTGCACTTTATTTTTATTGGAAACAAAGTAAACATCAAAAAATCATAAAAGGCTTGTCATATAGGTCCTTTAGACCATTGTAAAGTACAACAACAGGTATCATACAATACCACTGAAAAAAGATATGATAGAAAAATTCTATCATTGCTACAATGTAATGAGGTAGAAGCATATGAGAAACAAGGAAAAAGTGTACTACCACCATCCCCAGCTCTCTTGAAATACAAGTCAAGGGTTTGCCGGTCGCCATGCATTCCCAGATACCGTCCGGCATAGCCACACTACGTAATCGCTTCCATAAAATGGTTGCAAGAGATCCGCCTGAACCATAAAAAAGTGTCCCCTCTGAAAACGCAGGACAAAAAACAATTCTTCAAATGCAGGGTCACAACCCATTTTCCAGCGGCAGGAAGGGTCACGATTTCTTGTATTTTTGCATTTTTTGTGAATTTTTCTTGTAGCGCTTTCATAGGAGGGTGAAGATTTTTTGGTGATCTTTTCTGGTAGCGCTTTCATATGGTGATTCCGTGGCAGGCACAACACTTTGAGCACCTTGCAGATTTCGAAGCGCGGTACTTTGCGCACTGGAAGTGCAGATTTTTGTTGCAGGCGCAGCACTTCGTGAGGCTCGACGTGCAGACTTCGTGGCAGGCTCACCACTGCGCTACACGAACCTCGAAGTGCAATCAAGTGCAGATTTCCTGGCAAGCGCAGGTGATGACCCTTGACAATCATCTCTGCAACTTCATATGATGAGCACGATGAGGATGACGATGACGACGACGGTGATGCTGATGATGGTCATGATGATGAGGATGATGATGATGATGATGATGATGAGGAGGAGGAGGAGGATGAGGATGAGGATGAGGATGAGGATGAGGATGAGGATGAACGTGATGATTCCGCCACAAGTGACAGGGCCAGTCTCGAAACGGGTGTTTCGTGTCTCGTCTCAGTGCTTCCAAAAGTGCTGGGAAGGTCATTCAAGACTTGTTGCGCTTGTCTAACAGTCTAACACTTCAGAGCTCACGCGTGAGTGAATGAAGCAATCTCCTTGGCTCCCCCCCGATCCTAACCTAGACTATCTTCCCAGGGGCCATGTTCCACTTTCATGATTGTTTCATGGAGGGCAAGGGTTTTGATGGTTTCTACCGTCTCATCCCGTATCAACAGTTGACAGTTGGGAGGTGGGCCTGCGGTTTTCAAATGAACCAGAGCGCAACGCCTCATTAGTGCATTGCTCACTTTGCACATCTGGAGGGTTGTGTTTCATAATCATGACAACATGTGACATGTGCACCATTTGCACCAAAGCCAGTCACCAACCTGAACAACCGAAAACCTTTCCTTGCACGAGCAAAAAGCAACCATCTGACCAGCAAGCACCCTCCCAAATCCAGAAAATCAACATGAATCCTTCTCCTTCTCCTTTCGCCACCAAATCGACGCTCCCCCTTCCCTTCCCAGATCGACCCGCATCGACGCGATCAAAGGAAGAAAAGACCCCCACCGCGAAGCCTGAAAAAGGCCACCGGGCCGCTTCGGTCCGTGGCCCTGGAATCGCGCCTCGGGCGGCACCGTGAGGGGCCGATTGGCCTGGCTCAGGAGGACGGCACCATGGATGCTCGCCACCTGGGAGCGACACTTCGGGGAAGATCCATCCAAGGGGTGAAGGCAAATGCGAGACAAAGGGCGGGATGGGAGGAGGGAGGGAGGGGGCGGCTGTGGGTGGAAGGAGCCAGCTTAGGAGGAAGGAAAAGAAGAAAACTGCTCTCTGTGTTCGAATCGGAACCTGAGAAAGGACACCAGGCGACACCAGGCGACCCGAAGCAGGTCCGACCCGAAGCGACAGCAAGCGACCCAGACCAAGTAGCCCAGACCAAGCACTCAAGCGGCACACTGCTGTAGACTCTAGTAGACTCTACCAGGAGCCAACCAGCAGCAACAGCAGCAGCAGCAACAAACAAACTAGGAGCCAAAGATCAGCAGCACCGCCCAGCAGCGGAACAAGCAGCGTTGCTGATAGCCATCTGCCACAAGCACAATGCTGACGCAAATGATGCCACGAACTTTACTATTGCATCTTCTGCACCACCAGTTCATCCCAAATGGCCTCTACCAGAAAGAACAAACACAACTAAGTTTCCAGGGCTTGCGAATTGGTTTGCTTCATCTCCTATGCATTCTGTTTTACGAATCATGCACATGCAGTTGATGTGGGTTCTTACTGTCGCGATTCCAACAAACTGTTGGGACAGCAACAGCCCCGAGTAACCCTAGTAGCGATGGCCTCCCCAGTAGCGATGGACATTACCTTTGGTCACAAGAACCGAGTGTGGTCAGGATCTCTGTTTCCCGACGTCGACACACATCTCACGCCAAGCCACATAGGCGTGCAAACACTTTCCTGGCCAGCCGCTGGACCTGAAAGTAGTGATGCCCTTGTTACTAGTAGCGCTGCCCTTGAGCCCCAAGTCGCTTCTTGTTCCTAGTAGCTACTTGCTCCTAGTAGTAGGGGCAGGAGCCCCTAGTAGCGTCCTTGCTCCTAGTAGCGATGCCCTTTGCCCCTAGTCGCTTCTGGTTCCTAGTAACGCTAGGAGCTAGGTTCGTAGCGATTGTTCGCTCCAGGCAACTGCTTCTTTTCGCGCAGCGACACTCGTGTCGCTTGTCGCTCAGAGCGTCGTTTGGCTCCGCGGTCCGCTAGGTTGAAGCTGGAATTCCGTAATCCAGCCATGACTCACCGCTATGGTGGTGGTCAATGATGACCAGGTGGAGTAAAAGGAGTTAAAACGGAAGTTGATTGGCGAGGCTCAGCGGCGTTCGACAACCAATGGCTCGCTTGGCTCGCTCCGGAGCTCGGGCGAGCTCATCAAACTTTAGCGGAAGTTCACGACTCCATCTAGGTGTGGGCACAGGAATAGTCTACTCGGATGTCCCAGCCGCTTGCAACGCAAAAATACCATATGGTTTTCAGAGTCCCAAGCTCCTTTCACAACAGTCTGAGTCTATCCTGGTGACCCTATGGTGACCTCTCTTGTCAGCAGACCCTCATCACGCAACATCCTCGCGGCAAGACCCTCGCGCCAAGCCGCAGGATGGGGACGCTGCTTTGATCCGCGGGCGGCGTCGTCCGGGAATTCGGCCGCTCGCAGCGGCCCAGCTGGATCACGTCGAAGCCGGGGAAGCTATCCCTCCTCAATCGGTCGCGGCGGGCGTCGGCTGGATGGTCCGGTGGATGGTCCGGTGGATGGTCGATCGTGTGGCGCGCGATGCCATCGGGGTCCGTGTGGAAGGCCCACAGGCTGAGCGCTGTGCCAAAGGAACCATGACCAGGTTTCTTCCAAAGGTGGTTGTCACGGAAGGTTTCCCCTGGTCAAATTGGAATTGGACCTGTTGGAGTGTGGTGAAAAGTTTGGGTTTGGGGAGGTCCTGGTGGTCCAGCAAGTCTCTTGGCACGGTATGTGGGCGAAAATGGTGAGTGTTGTTGGATCTCTTGGTCGATGATTGGACCTGAGGCTCCAGTGTGTGCTTCAGCAATGAAAGATTCAATTGAAAGACGTCCACCCCGTTTGACTCATCAAACATCCACGTGACTGTGCGCGTGGATATGCAATTAAATTGATCTTTAGCACTGCAACACCCCCAAAAACTCCACATCTGACTCTCTCAGTGTCCCTCGCAAGCGGAGGTTAAGCTTTTTCATTGTTGTTTCACCTTTTCGTGTTTACTGGCAACACCAATCCCCGAAGAAGGTCAATTAAAGGTTATCCACTGACTGGGTATGACATAGGGCGAGTCATTCCACCTCAGAAGGGGTAGTGCAGAAATGGCCGCTCCTTTTCTAAGCCGTAAAGGGGCTGAAGTATGTACGTTTGTACATCCCGACACCCCCCTTGAAGCTTTACGAAGGGGCACGCAACTTGGGAAGCTTCACGCTGGCCCTCCTGTGGGGCAGCTCTTGCACAAGCTCAAAATGTCATGTTGCCGGCTCCTCTGGGCCAGCCTTTGGGCGCGTAAGGTCAACATGAAAGACCTCACGTCCTTCCAAGTGGAAAACCTTGTTGAACTTGTCCTGCCGAGCCGCAGGCTCAAGCCCCCCATTGATCTTCCCGACCAGCGACAGGAATGCCATCAGCATCAGGGCTTGCAGCAGCAAAAGCCATCCAAAGGCCACTGCCATGTCAGTGAAAATCCACTGGCTGAAGCCGCCATTGTTGTCACTCTCATTGGGCTCTTGTCCATCCCTTGCTCCCTCAGCGTGTTGCAGCATCATGATCAGGGCCGCGATCACTGCCTTCTTGTTGAACTGTTGAACTGGTAGCGCACCCCATCCATGGTGCCGATCTTCGGCATTGCTCGCAGCTTGTGAAAACGCTGGACGGTCAATGCCTTGGTGCCAAAGTCAGCCGTGTGGTCATTGCTGGGCACAGCATGGAGAGAAAACAACTTCCTCTGCAGAGCTTCCTGGACCCACAAGCTCTTCACCTCAAGGTGGCGAATCCTGCCAACTCCTTGCCGTTGAAATACTCCACGAGCTGCACTGGAATCCAGGTAGACCTCCATGGTCACTGGGTGCCCTGCAAAGGTGAGGATCTCCTTCAAGAACAATCTTTCAGTGCAAGCTGCCACACCACACACTAAACATAGCGCAAGCACACGACTTGCGGGTCTTCTTGCAATTGGCCCAGTCTGTATCGGAGTGGACCACCAAAGTGGTGATGCCCCCCCTTTGCTCGAGCCAGATGCCATACTCCTTGGTGCCTTGTGGGTATCGGGCCAGTCGATGTAGTTTTGCCATACTACCATCGTTCGGCTCCTTCATGTCCTTGGTGAGCTCTCGAACAGGTCATAGCTCAAGTAGAGGGCAATCCCAACTCCTGCCCTGTAGAGCTTGGTGTTGGCCTCATTCAGCTTGGCTCCATCCTACATCTCCATGGACGTATGGTGTATAGGTTGCACTGCTCCAAGTTCAGCATCTTGAGCAAATCGGTGATGTACTTTGCTCTTGGCATGATGAAGATGCCATCATTGAAGATCTCTCGAGTCCGCTTCAAAGAAGTGAACTTCTCACCTTCCACCAGCGGGTGGATCTCGCTCTTCATCTTGATCCTCAGGCGCAACTCCTTCTCCAACTCCATGAGGGACTTCTGGGGTCCTGTCGCAAAGAAATCATCCGTATGAACCTCCATCAGGATGCCCTTGGTGGCGTCGTGGAAAAGCCATGGGGCTGCAATGTTCCTGATGAATCCCAGCTCCTCTAGGTGTCCAGCTACCCATTCCACGAAACATTGGCCTGCGGTCCTTCGGCCATACCACTCCTTCTTCTCTGCGTCAACGAGTAGCCCATCTTGATGCCAATCACATCAACCAGCCTTGACGTAGAGGTGCTTGATGCCACAGCAAAGACATCTGTCCTTGGTCCTTGGGTCTCCTATCTTGAACTCGCGAACACAATAGTGGCATCGAACTGCACCATCAGGCTTTCTCGCTTCCACCCAGGTGGCGTCCAGCACCTTCATCCCAGTCTCGTAGGGGGACAGGCTCATAGGTGTCATACCTGTCCATCTTGCCATACTCAACCACGCTCCTCCTCACTCAGCGGCTTGCTTTCTTCATCCCCTGAGTCAGCTGCTGCCATCTCCACATCCTCCTCACAGACAACCATGTCCTCGGTTGGGGTGTAGAGTGCTCCCGCATAGACTCCTCCCACGCGCGCACGCTTGTCCAAGCCTCCTTCGACTTCTCCTCCAGGCCAGGCACGTCTCCATTGGGGACTTGTCGATGACCTTCTCAGTCTCCATCGCCTCAGTTGAGGGCTCAACAATGCTGGCAGGCTTCTCAGCCACAGGATGGGCTCATCCTGTCGTCCGCTGAGAGCGGCCTCAGGCTCATCAGTCTCCTCCTCCAAGGGCTTGGTCTTGGCCTTGTACGGTTTCCAACTTCCTCTTCGCTCGGCCCTTGATCCCATGGCACTCCAATCATGGCCTCCATCAACTCACGGTCATGGGCTTTCGCAGGATCAGCAAATCGTCTCACTGTCCTGGCACACACGGTTCCATTAGGCATGCCGAGGAAGTACTCATTGCTGGTCACGCTCTCCTCCCAAGGTAGATGCCCTTCACCCATGCCGTCTCTCCCTTTGTCATCACATTTCTCCCATGCGCCCTTCTGGCCTTACTCACAGGAGTCTTGAAGAGGATTGTCTCCGCAAACGGAATGAGAGGTGAACCGCACTGGCAATCGAAGGCGTACTGATAGGCTGTCCGCTGGTTGGCTTTCACTGCATATCGACTTCTGATGACCGAGCAATAGCACACCAGCCAAGGCCAAAGATTGTGTGAGGTGTGCAAAGTAATGCCGTACTCTGCTTCCACGGCATAGCGCAATGTGAGCACATCTCCTCTCAACAGCTTCTGGAAGGCTGCCATTGATCCCAAGCTCTGAGAACTATAGCGAGGGACCTCTTCGAAGATGATCTTGAGCCCAGCTGCTCCTGCTTAGGGCTTCTGGAATCTGGCCTTTCACCTTCTTGATGGCTGGCTCATGGTCAGACCTCAGCTTCACGGTGTCGTAGCCCAGCTGAGCGATGAATGAGGTAATGACCTTCACCACATAGGGAATTCCAAGATTCTTTGCCGGGATGCTAATCCCGTTCCAGAGTCCACTATGGACAGGCTGGTGTCGCTGCACTCTTCAAATCTCTCGGCCAATGCAGTGTCTGTCTTCAGGAAGGAGTAGTCGAGCTCGAAGTGGTTGTCTCCAACTCAAAGTGCGCCTCTTGTGCGCCACTTCGACTCCATGGCCTCAAGTGCAGAATTCACACCATGGTTGAGGTGGTAGGTGTGCTTCATCTCCTCATCACTGGACAATCTGCACCTCAGCGCCTCTCCCTTCTCTCAAGGCCTGCTGGCGCTCGCTCTGCTTCTCCATATAGTCCCGCGCTGATGCCCTTCTTGCATTCAAAGCAGCTTCTCCTTTCTTGAATCGAGTCCACAGGGTGTGCTTGTCGCCATAGATGGGCTCATCTAGTTCTTTCAGCCTTGCCGGAGGTCTGCCACCTTGCTCCAGCCGTGTTGCTTCTGGCGGTCAGCTACGAGGCACGAGCAAACTCTTCAGCCAATGGAACCATCTCTATGCCTTCTTCATCATCATCAGCACCTGCGAACTCCCATTCATACTGATCTCCCTGACTCACCACTGGCGCCTCGTCATCCACAACCTTGATGTAGTAGGAGTTCCTGTGGATGTAGAGAGGAATCCTGAAGGAAATCTCAGGGTGGATGAGGAAAGGCTTGAACTTATTCCTCATGTCGGCCACAAATCCACTCTTGCTCATCTTTCCCACAGACAGCACATCTTTGCTTGCCTGTTCACTCACCTTGAACTCCGTGATGGCGTTCAGGAAGTTGCCGTCCTCGCCAATCTTATAGCTCACCCGCTTCTTTCCAAGCTTGACAAGGCTCGTCCAAGAGATCCCTAGCAGCTCAGCCTTGCACTCTTCGGTGCGCTGATGTCCTCCAAATGAAGGCTGGCAAAGATGCTCATCACTGCCAGAATCCCACAGGAGGTACTTCACAGAGGCGCCACTAGGCTGGGAGAATGGTGCTGCTGCCTAGTGCTCCCGTAGGTGATGCAGGTGCTGATGACGTCGATGTAGTGGCTTGCACTGCATTGATGCTTCCCTTGCCTTTCCCTTTCTCATTGTCCCTTCGGGTTCGATCCCTGGCAAGCGATCTGCAGTCTGCCTTCTTGTGCCCCCACTTTCCACAATAGGAGCACTCGCCATTGAACTTATTGGGCTGTGATTGCTTGCCTTTGCCCTGCTTGTCGTACTTGCCGCCCGTGTTCACTCCCTTGTCGCCCTTGCTGAACTTGCCTTTCTTGCCTTTGTCTCCATGGCTGATTGCTCCAACATCCATAGGTGCAGGCCCACCATCGTCTTTAGCCAAGGCACCACCAGTCCTGTAGATGTTGCCGGTCTGCAAGTTGTCCCTGATGAACTTCTTGGCCTTCTCATAGTTGGTACCAATCCGGGATCCTGCAGCTCGCATTGCATCCTTCACAGGACTTGGGATCTGCTTCATCAGGACAGCTCCCCTCATCGATTCGGACACTGTCTCCTTGGACTGCATCTCATAGCGTCGGACCAAGACCTCCCAAGTCTCAATGGTCTCGAGCAGCTCATTCTCCTTCACATTCTTCCAGTCCGCAGCGATGATGGCGGTCAGCATGGCCATGCGTCGGCCTCCCACTTGGGGTTCATAGGCATCACACAATGCCTTCCAGGCCTGAAAGCCATTGGACCCTTCCACATTCATCAGGATGGAGAGGGCGCGTCCATCAACACTCTGTGTCAGGAGGTTGAACAGCACGGTGGAGAGTGGCACTCATGTCGACCAACGCTAACTCATTCAAGCTCACTGCATTCTCGGCGGCCTCAAGCATGCCGTGGTAGGCCTGGTCCAGGAGGTGGACGTAGCTCCTTCCCACAAAGACCCATGCTGGCCAGTCTTCGTCTCTTCCACTCACTAAAAGTCTTCAGCTTGCCGATCGCCTTGGTATCGATCAGCCTTGGCCCAGCCACACATAAAGGTAGAAGTGGATGATGTGGGCTCTCAGCAGCTGGCGAAGCAAAGCCCTGCAAAGCGGCAGCAGCCTCCTCAAGGAGTTGAGGAGGTGAACGGCGCAATCGACATGCCGATGCCACCACACAGGAGTGTGGATTTTTACGCCGAGCCCACGCCACAGGTTTCAGTGGGACTTACAGCGTGCCCCCACACCGCCGCCCCGAAGGGACTTACCGTCGGGATCACAGGGGGACAGGAGCTGGAGCGTATAGCTCCGCTACCATGCAGAAATGGCCGCTCCTTTTCTAAGCCGTAAAGGGGCTGAAGTATGTACATGTACAGAAAGCTTGTACATCCCAACAGGTAGTCTTTTTGTGCATGGTCATCCCAAAGAGTGTAGCATCCACAAACAGCAATCAGGTCGTTCTGTTTGGGTGCCAAACTCAAAAGACATGTGGGTTCTGGGCCAATTTCCCAACAAGCCAACCCATTTCCCAGCAATGTCACCCCCGAAACCCACACAAAAAACCAGCAGTGCTGGAAGAAGCGTCGCCACTTCAGCCAGTCGGGCGCTGAAGTTCTTGGCCAGCTTTGCGTGATCTTCCTGAACCGCCCAGTTCAGCGCAGAACGAACGAGGCCGAGCCGGGCGAGCCGTTCGCAACCCAACCGGATGGCCCACACGTGGGGGCCGAGAGACCGCCTGCACGGAGCCGTGCGGTGATCTGAAGTGGCGATCTACCAAAAGAAGGTTGAAGAACCCTATATGATTTTTGTTATATATATATATGCTCTATCCTATAGGTACCCCAGTAGGGTCCTATAAGGTCACTAAGCCTCTCTTGGTAAGTTGCAAGAAGAGCGAAAGAAAGTTGCAGTGGAGATTCGAGAGGATGAGACCGTCGAAGCCAAAGAAAAAGAACCGGTGGGAAATTCCGGCATTCAAGCTGGTTGACTTTTGCCAGCAAGGATCATCCGGTCTGCTAAAGGAGAAAGCAGCCACATACCGATTAACATCAGCAAACACACAGCAAATGGCCCTGGCACTAGTTTCATTGAGCTAGTTGGAGCCTGCCAGACACTGTCGAAAATGTTTTAAACAATTAAGAATCACCCTCTGCGCAGACTTTGAGCCGCGCTGAGCATGAACAGTGCCTGTTCCCTTGTTGGTGCAAGCATTGGGTTCCAAGCGTGCAAAACGCCTGTCATGTGGTTTGCATGCAGGTGCAGCAAGCCTTGCTGAAAAGACATTATCCCGGTCATTTCAAATGACTCAGACCTGGCCTGGCAGAGATCAGCGCAGGCACCTCGTTTCCGGACTGGAGTGGATTCCTGCAAGGCGCAGCAGGGTGCGAGTGAAGGATGGGGGGGCGGCAAGCCACATCAGCCGAATGCCTGCCTTGCAGGAGGAAATGATGACTTGTTCCACTTTTTCCAAAGCAGCAACCATCATCAAAGAATACCAGGGAGGCACATCGACACGTCCCTGTTTGTTTAGGACGCGGCATTCTGACCTCATGCTCTGGTTGAGCTCCATCCTCGATTCAATGATGACATCATGAGCATGCTTAGAGCACCACTGGCGAACATGCGCGTAGCGCTGGTGCCACTGATATTCGAATCTGTGGCTTGCAAGCGCATTCCAGCTGGCCACTTTCTCCTCATCATCCATGAAACTGTGCAGCAAGCAACCAGTCATATGGGCCTGGTGCATGTGCGTGTCAGAGATGGGAGTTGTGGCATTGATGCAATGTGGCAAAAGCTGGGGAGTGCCTTTGTAGCCGGTACACGACACCACACAGTCAAAGTGTTCACCTGGAAATGCATCACAGCTCACTGTGCCATCCGAGTTCCTCGAGTACTTGAAACTGTTGGCATCTCCCTGAACACCATAGGCATGAAGCATCAGGTTCATGAACACAGCATCTGAAAGTGTGATGATGCCTCCACGTGTCTTCTCCCTGACCTTCTTACAATTTGGATTGCCCACAATATACCAATCCCAAGAATCCAAGTCCTCCAACTCACATTCCTTCTTCCAATCTTCAGCTGTCACCTCTGCACTCAGCATGGTGAAATGCCGATGTGGGTGGAAGAACATCACGAGGCTTGAAAAGGGACTGTTGAAGCTCCGGCGCGTGTATGCAGTCGGTGATCGGTATAAGCAGCGCACGCTATTGCGCTGGTGGGTCAAAAGCCGACAGGCATCGATGGAGGACTTGCCGCTCCCCACCAGCAAGACACCTAATTGGCGGCTTTAACCATCCCAATACAAATCAATTAAACGGGATGATCCTTCCCAAAAAAGACATGGAAAAGCAGAAAAAGAAAGCATCGAAAAGTAAGCCCAAACCACAACCCAGACACGTTTGCCATGCAGGCTCTCAGCATGTTGCCTCAGCTGACTGGAGTGAACTTCCACTGGGATGCCCAAGACCTGAGGATTTCCTCCATAGCCATCGAAGCCGGTGGCCTGCACGACGTGCCAGCCAAAGATGTGGCCACGATGGCCATGAAGCCCTGCATCTCTTGGAATGTAGGTGACCTTTTTTAGCTTCAACTTCTCTTCCAGTGCCACACTGGTCACTTCTCCAACGAAGTGTGCACTCACCACGCGTCCGGCGATCTTGCCAGCGTACTGGCGCACTTGCTCGCTGGAGGCTTGGTGCCTGGAATCGGTATGAGCCTCGGGCTCGTCGTAGGGAAGGCCTGGCAGAGCATAGCGATAGGTAGGAATGTGCAGCTTGACGTTGTCGGCAGCATCCCACCAAACTCCCCCAGCATGTTCCTCTTTTGAGACAAAGGCCATCTTGAGCGATTCATCCTTTCTCTTCAGAGCCCAGGCGATTCTCAAGCTGGTGAAGCCATATCCAATAAAGACAATGTCAAACTCCTTCTCGACCTACAAGGCTGCTGTTCGGATGTTGTGTTTGGACTTTCTTCCTTGCCTTTGCTTGGGCATTCTATAAGTGTGTGTGTGTGTGTTTGTGCGTGTTCAGGATGCCAGCTTACGCAAAACGAGGGTTCTTTGGCATACACAACCTTCTTTTGCCTTCTTCTGCAAATTGCAGTACATCTTTATAAACGTAGCTTTTTGCCCTTACTCACCTCCAAGTGGTTCTCAACCTGATCTTCATGGGTGTTGTCAAGATCGTCAAGGTATGTAGACCCTTCGGACGTGATGCGGATCTGGGAGTCGGCCGCGTCGTTCACCGTCAACAACCTCTCGATGCTTTTGAGCTGATCTCCATTCCCATGGGTGTCTTGGAAGTCAGCGCACAAGGACATGTGTCGTGGTGGGACTGAATAGGTCCAAAGTCCGCGGTGTTGAGGTTCTGCGGCCAAATGGCTAACAGAGAAGGTTGTTCGAAAACGTTTCTGCTTCACTACCGGCCTGCTTCTCTCTCTGGCCTTGAAATAGCTGATTCTTGCCCTGTGAATTGACGGAAAGGATGCCCTCATTTCCTCTTGAACAGTTCTCCCCTTCACCTTCTTCACCTTCTTCACCTTCCATCATGCCCTGTGCGGTGCTGGTGCCCGTTCGCCCAGCAGCCAAGGCTCAAAGATCATGGCGCAGGTCCAACCCTCGTAGACGATCTTCTCGTGAACACGTCGATGACTTAGGGCACGACCCAAGGTGCTGTGGCACCGCGCGATCTGATCGCATAAGCCATCTTGCAGCTTCCTCAGAGCGGAAAAGGCGGCATGAAGATTCAATGCACAGAATGCATATGCTGTTTGCATATCTGTTTGCACAGTTGCCGCAGCCGTGGTGTTTTCGCTCTTTTCAGCGGCTCAGCCAGTCACCCTCCCAGAAAAAACCAAGGATGGATGTGATGATCACTGATGAAGGACCTGATGTCCGTCCAAGGTCGAAGTGGCCTAGGCAACCGTTGTTGAATAGGCTGGAAGAAAAAAGGCATAGATGCATCCATGCAGAAAGAAATCACCAAGGTTGGAGGCCATCACTGGTAGGTTGGAGACCCTCCGAAGCACGAGATTCGTCGGATCCCCAACAAGCGCCCCGCACGGGGTGCGTCGGGTTCGCCGTGCTCGCCGTGGCACAGTTCGCGCTTCAGCTGCTCATCCTGTTCGGTGTCCACGGCCGGGAAGAAGTAGTAGTTCTGGATGCCAGCCTCATGGGTCATGTAGACTCTTGTTTGATAAACGCTCCCCTATGAATCAAGAGGATGTTCATTCCAAATGGGATGGGTTTATTGATCAAGAGTCTCCAGTATGGCGAAGGCAGGGCGGAAAAGTAGAAATCTCAGTTCTTTCACTGGAGAAAAAGAAGAAGGCTGAGAAGGTACAGAAGGCACTTCGGTGGTGTAGAAAGATCTCGGTGCAGCAGTTCTTCAGGAGTCACTCAACTCAAAATCGACTGCCTTCTCGAACTCCGCAACCAGCGCTTCTCTCCCAGGTTTGCCTTGGCCAACGGAGATCAGACTGAATGCCCAGTCATGTGAAAAAAGACTCACTTTGCATGTTTAAAGTATACAGATTTAATCAGATTTGGATGTGGGAAAGGCCTGTGGTTTACTTCTGTTTCCCTTGGTGATGCAACACCGAAGTTGACACCCAACGACGGGTCAACATGTTAGCCGCTGAAGTCTGAATCACACGGCATGTCAACAGGCTTGAACTCAGTGAGTAATTCGGCCTCACATCATCAAAACACAAACTCCACGTGCACTGCGAGGTCCACAAAAATTCGACTCATAACTTCATCTTCTTTCTAGGTCCCCCAACTAGACAAGTAGATAGAAACGCTCCTCTTCGACACATCCCACCACCTTCCTGGTCGGTCTTCGGTTCTCCTCCACGTGCGATTCGCGTTTTTGCGATCGATCTCGCGGTTTGGCCTCGGTCGTCCTCCAGGCTAATGGCGATCACGTGCTCAAACGGATCCTTGAAAAAGAAAAGGAACAAGAACGAGGACCAGGCACCTAAACTACTTTGCTGATGCTTAGATCTGATGTTTGCAGATGTTTGATGCTTAGATCAGATGCGTGCGTGAGCGCACCGCTGACCAAAGACTGGCGTTCCAAAGACTGGCGTTGACGGACGAAGCAGTGGTGGCCCGGCCGAAGCAGTGGTGTGCCTAAAAGCTGCGACCGGTCGTGCTGTTCCGACCATGGTCGGTCTCTGAGACTTTAGATTGGTGAAAGAATCTGAAAGATGGATTTCCGGAAAACTCAAAAACTCCAAGAGTCGCAAGCAAAGGGATGTGGAAGCTGCAGTCTCACTTCCTCTTCCTCAGCGCTTCGGAATGATTAACCAAACACCTCTCTTTCAAACTGGAAGAAGTGACTCTGGTATTCACCCAAAAATTTGGGGCCCCTTTCGCTGGGTCGGCTTGCTATGCTACGTTACTTTGGTGAAGGGTATCGGTTCATCCACATCGCTGGAATTCGACCGGTTCGGAGGACTGGACCGATGACTGGACTGTGGCCTTCCACCTGGAACCCATCCCACAGAGTTGCGTTTGAAGGTCGCTACATCCACGCAGCCCGGACGGGGCGAGAGTGTGTTCGAGAACCAAATGACTCGGAAGATCCATGGAACTGGAAGACCACCAGCTGTTGTCTACAAAATACAGAACCCCCTCCATCTACCAGCCCCCTCCATCGTGGGTGCGAAGGCGAGCGCAGAGTCTGCGCCGAGCCGATCGCGTGGCGGTTCTCGGCCAAGTCTCAGGGACCCGTTCTAAGAACTCGCCACTCCGCGGCGCGGAAGCCTGGAGAGCGGGAGAGCGGTTGGAGCGAGCGGTTGGAGGGGTGTTCGAATCCGTGTTCTGCGTGCAGAACACGAATCTCATTCCAACGTGAGAAGGGGGACGAAAAGCCAGCCATCATGGGTCGTCGCCGACTTCGACTGACGCAAGTCTCTTTTGATAGCTGCACCACAGCAATAGGACCCTTGACTAAGCAGGACATAGCAAATGCATCTTCGAGCATTTAATTCCAATCTTGCAAGCCATTGCTTGCGATGCATTTTGGCGATCTGTGTGGGGGGAGGCAAAACTGACAAACTTGTTAAACGCAGGAGTTTTGCCCGCCGCTGGGGATGCAGGCGTGGAACAACACGTCTAGATACCAAGGGGTTGGAGTTGCTTGGTTGGTGCCCTCTTGCGCTGTGTTTGAGAGCCGCCTCGGGGGAAAAGGGGCACCTCGGAAAAAGCAGCTCTAAGCCTAAGCACCAAGTTTCCCCAGAAGAAAAAAAGTGAGCGCCCGTGTCGGGGCTAAAATGCTACTTCCGAAGAGAGCGGCTAAAACGCTTTTCTTCGACCCTCTGCATCTGGATCTCTGTGCATGGCTTGACTTCGCGCATGGCTTGACTCGATGAACGCAAAAGAAAAGACTGCAAGTCATAACGGCTTTATGGCTCTCGACAAAGTCACCAAGGCACCCCAAAAAGATGCAATTATGCCAAATTGATGATGCAAAAGATGCCGTCATGCCAGTATCAACCGCAGCTGCATCACTCGTATCACAAGAGCCCTCAAAATGAAACTTTACAACTTGACTCTTTTTTTGCTATCCTCCAGCAGGCTCTGGGTTCACCCTTCCAAAACCTGCCTCTTTAAACCTACCGCCCGGCCCCCTCCCCAAATACCTCCTATTATTTTCACTTCGCTCGCCACACAGATTTTTCCTGGATGCGAATTAGATTGATTGGATAGCTTGGTGGTGGGTAGATGGCAATTGGAAAATGGATGGGCTTAATAGTTGCCATGACACCTAAAGCCTTCCTGCGACAACTATGTCGAAAAGTCACTAGAAGATCTTTTCTTTGACAACAAAAGAACCAAAAAAGAAAGGCATCTATCTTCGAAGAGCCCGTCTGCCGGCACTACCGGCAAGCAGGCGAGCTATAATAGGTGGTGCGCTTAGCAGATTCCTTCGATTTCACCCAGCTTGACCGATCGCTCCGCAACCTGTTACGCTCCAAGACATGTGGAGAAAATTCGCAAAAAGAAAGAAATGAAGCGAAGCTGCTGATTTGGAATGCAAAGCTCTTCACGACCTGCGACGGACCCTTCACGGCCTTCGGAGCCGCCGTGGTCGTCTCGGACGCCGTGGCGTTTTCTTCTCGGCGCGACGTCAGTTCGCTGAGGCTCGGCAGCACGCAGCGCTTCGCGGTGCCCTGTGCAGCGCGGAAGCGGTGATACGGTGAGTCACTGCCATATGGAAGAGGGTGGGAAGAAGGTGAAAGAGGAAGGGAGAGTGCAGTCTGCAGCTGGAGAAACCAAGTGACCTTTGGGTAGATCTGATAGATTGGAGAAAAAGGGAAAAAAACACACCAAACCACACCGCTTAGCCATGTGAAGCTTCCAAGTAAATTGATTAAAGAAACACCAAGACCCCATAGCTGCCATAGCTGGAAACTTCCTTCGAAGATTAAGGCCCAAGTTCAGTCAAATCCAAAATGACGAATTCCAGCCGATGGTGTCAAAAAGTATGTCACGTGTAGAGTCTCATGTGTAGAGTCTCATCTAGTCCTTGATGGGTTGAGAGATTCGTTCGTGCAACACCAGGATTGTGTGCATGACTGCAGTTGACCAGATCTAGGCCTCCAAAGTCGGAGATTGGGTACAACGAAGCACTGATGAACTCAAATGGATGGGTTCATTCCATTGCATCACTTGATATCAAGCATAGAACCTCCTACCCATCCTCAAAGATATCCTACAGGACTTGTCCCACAGGACAAAGGAAAACTGAACTTTAGACATCCCACCCCCTAACACCAGAGATCACCTTCCAGCACGCAGAGCACGCCAAGCACCTCGCACCTTCCGCTCGCACCTTCCACGTCGAATTCGACCTTCGCTCCCAAATCTTCGGGTCCTTCTCCGTGAGCTCCGGAAGGAGGAAACCGACAAAACCGGCAGAGACATACAGGACCTCCGAACGGCACGAAACAAGTGCTGGGCTGCTGAACCAGTGCGAGACCAGAGCTTCCGCGGGGCTAGCAGGTGGGTGGTCAAAGGACGCATCCGTTTGCAGGGCATTGGCTTCACTTCTGGAACAAGACAATGCACCATGATACAAACGAATCCTCCACGATGTTATACGAGGTTATACGAAGTTGGCGTGGTTTCGGCCTGATGTCCTCCACGAAGTTACGGCGTATAATGAGGATTATCTGGGACACATTCCATGGTCTTCTGGGACGCCGAGTACAAGTCCGGAATCCGCTTGAACGAGAGCCGCTTCGTCGCGGTGGCGGAAGAATTTCATCTTTGCCGTGCGCAGAGTCGGGATTCAAACCATTATTAAAGTGGTTTCAGAGTAGAATGCACAATCCCCAAGGCTGGTGGTTTAGAAGAACCCACCATCTGTCGGCATACATCTACTCTGAAACCATGTGCTCGTCTCCGTCCGGCGAGAGGCCCAAAATCGGCCACAAAAAAACATTGCATGGATCTTGAGCGTCGATACTCTTGTTTCCATCGTTAAGTGGTTGATGGATACTCCAAAACGGGATAATCATGATATTGACCGTAGTACAAAAGGGAAAACAAACGTTTATTGATGCCAAGGCAGGAGGCAAAATATCCAATGGGTTTCATCACCTCATCGTTCTCGTCATGGCGATGAGAGCACGCATGAAGTGATCAAAAACAAACGAAGAATGCTGATCCTTCTGGCCAGAAAAAAGAAAAAAATTGTGCGTTCATGGAACAACTACCTAGAACCTGAGTGACCTCTGTTTTGATGGAAAAAAAAGACCCTATTTTGGGTGGTTTAAGGGGTTTGTAATCCAAAATAGAGGTCACTCAGGCTCTAGGTACACAAGTGAGATGGTGAGGTGGGTATTGTGGATGATGCGTTTTGGTTCGGCAAATCCTGAGCGCTGGGAGGCGTACAACAATGTGTGGTGTTGTTCTTGCAACGACTTGCAGGGTCATGATGTCATGCCAAAGCAAAGACTTGATCTCATGTCTTGAGCCGTTCGCACGGCTTCGTTCGTTTGACTCGTTCGTTTGCATGAGTTCAGCCGAAGCCCACCGAAGCCCACCACTGCCCCGGAAGTCTCGCCAGCCGTTTCTCAACGGCCAGTCTCGCTTGCCAGGTGTGGGCCAGCTCGGATCTCCCGACTGGGAAGTCTCTTATTGAAGATGAGTAACATGAGAAGAATCCAAGAAACAAGAAGTAGTATAAAATTGTACTTATATAGATACATTTAACATGTTGTACCTTTTAACGTTCACATCCATATGTTAACATCTGAAAAAATGGTCATCCATTTAAGGGGTCACTCGCAGTCGATCGCATGCCCCGAGTCTTCCAACTGGTTAGCGTCTTCCCTTCGTCGACTCTCTTGGTTCCAGGGAGTGTCAAAAGCTCAGCCCTTCGGCCTTCAGCATCTGAAAATGCAGAAATTCGTTCCATTCCATGTGTGTATCTGGAAAAACATATGACATAACTGTGTGTGACTCTCTATATATACTCTTAGAGTGTTATGAAGCCTGTGAGGACGCTCCTCAGTTCGTCCTCGGCCCCTGGCGGCTCCCGCTCCTTGAAAGCCTCTTTGGGCTCAAAGCGCTCCGGCCTCGGAACGTCGTCCAACCCCCCCCCGCGTCGGGTGGTGTCAGGCACCCGGCAAACGCCGCGTCCTGGTCGACCGACGAAGAAAAAACGCCGAGGGTCGGTGCGCTCTCGATGAGTCGATGAGTCGATGAGTCGGTCGATGATCCGAGGAGGTCATGTGAGGAGGCGTCGTCCAGTCCAGCCATGACTCCGTCCAGACCGAGTTTGAGGGGTGGGATTCGTGACCCCGGTGGATTCCGGTGGAATGGACCATCTCCAGATAACTCAACCAGTCGGCTGGTTCTTCAAGCCCAGCTTTACAAAGAAGGAACTCCTTCGCCAAACCACGGTCACGCACGCCTTCTTCCTTCGTGTGGCGCGGAACTCGGCTTCACGTCCCATCATCGACGTCGACCCAGTTCCGGCAAAAAGTGGAGGCTTCCATGCCTCCTGATGCTGATGCCTTCATGCAATACATCGGTGCAACCGAAGATTTGGCGTTTGGCCCTCACATGGCCTCCCCTCCGGCCTTTCTGGCCCTGCTCCCCACCTGCCGGATGTACCAAGCAGGATTTCGAAAGAGATGAACAGTTCCAGTCTTGGTCCTACGGAGAATGTGCTCCCTCCCTCCCTGTCTTCTCAGCTCCCCGGCACTTCCAAATCATCCTCCACCGCTGGAGGGAGCACCAAAACTCCACGCGTGGCGGGCGTGGAGCTCGCATCTGCCGATTTCGCGGGGGCCGTCTGCGGTCTGGAAGGGCTCTGAAGAGGTTCTGAAGGAATTCTGCATTCTGCATCAGATGCGTTGAAGAAGTTTTGGTTCTGAAGGAATTGTTCAGCATCTGTTCGAAATTCTGTTCAGAATCTGCCGGCAATCTGTTGAAACCCTCTTCAGAATTTACTGTGTTCGGATTCTATTCCGTGGGAAGACTGAAAGTGCTTGCTTTCTGGATGCGGCCCAACCCTCCTCACCAATGGAGGGTTTGACGCTTAGCTTCAGGAGAGTGGGACACCAGCGGCAGACCAGGGACAGTCCTCGCAGGCGAAAGGAGGACTGAAAGACAAGAATGAGACCATGCTGTTGACAAGCTCATTGGTTGTTCATAGTCTGAACATAGGGACATGCTGCTCCTCCACCATGTGCTTCCTCCCGTGCGATTGCCCCCCGTGCCCGGCCTTCTTTGGATGTCGAATTCTCCTGAGCCTCAGCTTGTTGCGCTCTTACGGACCATCTCACGGTATGCGTGGGAAGGGGGAATACCGGTAACCCGTTCCAAACATCGACTGCATTTAAAGGTCACAATTCCATTGAAAGTTCCTGGGATGTTCAACAAGACACTCGTTTGTACGAAAGCAAATGAAAGTGATTGTCCAGCTACTTCCAGATTCATGTCCACAACTGTCAACTCAAGGTCTCAACATATCCTAGTAGGCACCCCAATCGTCTGCATGTCAAAAAAAGATCAAAAGCCCTTTACATTTACAATAAACAAACAGCCCATTCAAAAAGCCTTTCAAGCAACGGCTTCAGCGTCCTAATCACCAAATGCCAATATCTACCCAAAGTAACACACCAAGCTTCCAAAATGATGTCAAAGTGGAGTATGACCCTATGTTTTGGTGTGACCATTTCGAGTGTTGTTTCCATTTTTTCACGCACAAAAACCAAATACGGTGCATGGGCCTTTGCCCATTCATCGCGTGTTCAACAACCTAGGCAAGCGCAAACAGGAGAAAAAACACATCCTTCACACGTTCCCGTTCGGAACAAAGAAGAAAACACCGCCGCACCGCCTCGGCTGCGAGTTGCAGTGCCCTGCAGGCCACCTTGGCGTGAGGGATGGGTTTGGATGATGGATGACGGAATCTATTCTCAGGTTGATTCAGGTTGATTGTTGATTGGTGATCACTTCCTGTGGACTGAATGAGTTGCAAGATGTTCATCGACCAGTGACTAGTGTTGATTGTGACTTGCATGGGTGTTGAATATTTAAACAGAGACGGTGGAGTGGAGTGTCCTTGTTGAGACCCCGGTCATCATGGAGCTTGGCACATCAACCGGCCACTTGCTTGACCATCGTACAACTGGCTCCATGCCAGAAATGTTCTTCTCCAAGTATTCAGTATTGGCTTCCCCAGCTTTTCCCTTCCCCACGCCAGAGAGGGATTGCTTTCTTTCCACCCAAAAAACGAACCCGGAGGCTGGTGAACCACCGCGTGTCGCCTCCGGCGTCGCGGTGACCGAGGGTCCTGGGCATCCGATCAGCGCCCGTGGAGATGAGCCAACCGCAGCAGGCGCTCTGCGCGAGGCCCTGGCAGTCTCTGGAGTCCGTGGCAAGGGGTAGTCACCCGTAGGAAAACCACCGAGACTGCAGTTTCTGGGCATGTTTTAAAAGAAAGAACGGAAAGAAATGTAAAGTCTAAAGTGTACAGGTCTTACGAAATGAAAAGAAAGGAACGAAAACCATATGTATAATAGAAAGTACATCAACCACATATATATATATATATATATGATAGTACAATTTGAATAGGAAGAAAACAATCAGAAAGGTGAGAAGTGAAGTCCACGGCCTGAAGCCCCTCCGGCCCCGAGACGGGCCGAGAGCCTCTAAGGAGCTCTTCAGCTCGTGTCGATTCTGCCGAAGCCGCTCCTTGAACGCAAGCGATGCCCGGGAGCGTGGATCACGCGGAAAAAGGGAAGAGAAGAACGTTTGGCAAATGCCAATGAAATCAGCAGCTCAGGAACGTAGTGCTTAGTATGTGGTAGTCGCGCCTGCGTCTTTCGGTTCTTCCAATGAAAGGAAAAACCATCAACGCAGCGACTGTTGGAAGTCACCCTTGTTTCAAGTCCCGGGCCCGGTCACGGGGACTGGGCCGCAAGCTTGCGGCGAGCTCTGAGTTGAACCCGCACAAAAGAAAATTTGAGAAAACTCATGGTGAAATCAAACAAAAAAAAACATGTAAAGGAACTCTCAAAGAAACAGAGAGGTGTTATGGCTGGAAAAAAAAAGAACCGGGGGCCTGGTTGATCATAAAAACCAACATGAACCAACACATTAAATTACCAGGCAGGTCAACCTACCAGCAAAATGGAGCTCCAGGTTTTGACCCACCGCCTTATCAATTGTCACCCTCGTGCCCCAAAGTGATTACCGCTGCGAATTCCAGAGGACATCCCTCTTCAGATGGAACTCTGGGTTTTTTCAACCAAAAGCGTCTTCCACCTTAAAGGTGGTCCCAGACCCAGTCCCCTTGTGGCCCCAGACCCCCTTCGACTTTCCACATCTCCTCAAGGGTCTTCGTCACCTGTCGGGAGATCTCTTGGAGCTCCGATTCGGCGTAGGCCAACTTCTCCTGGTTCCGTGACCTCGAGTCATCGGCGCGGGAGCCCCAGCGCAGGACGCCGGGGGCACAGGACGCCGGGGGCAGTTCGGGGACCGTCCGGGAACGCGTCGTCTGGCTTCGGGTCGGGCAAAGCTTCGGGCGCTCGGCAAGCCAACGATCTTCGTCGGGGTTTAGCAGTCCATGGCATCGGATGACAACTGAACTGCTGACGCATTCGTTATAGAGAAAGTTCATTATGTAGGCGCTTGATTCATAAAACTCCCACTGTAGGAAAAAGGCCGTTCAATCCATGTCTGGGGGAGGGTCATTAATCAAAAGTTACATAGTCCGCATTCCCCATCCAGAGTACAAACTGCTTCCCTTCTTTCACTCACTTCCGAAATTCCGAAACCCGAAAAAGAGTGTCCCTCAGAGACCAAGCGGCAGTCGGTGAAGTTGCTCTTTGGAGTTCCCTTTCCTCGGGTTTGCTGAAGCTGCACTCTTGAACAAAAATGTCTTAAATTCCTAGCAACTCGTAAAGTAGCAGCTTGATATTATCTAGTAGAATAGCCTACGAAGCTCAATGACTCAAAACATGAGCATGTCAACCGAAGCTCGACGCCCTTTCTGTTGTTTTTCTTCTTTCGTCCGGCCAGGTCTCCGTTGCTCTTCTCGGTCCTGGAACTCCCTCCTCGCCAACGAAAAAGTGACACAATCCGAGCGCGCTGTCTCCATATGCCAGGAGTCACGTCTTTTCCGGGGTGCCGAACGAACGGAGGTGCCCGGGGTGCCCGGGGTTGTCACATCCACAGCCCCGGAAGATGGGACGAGCCACACCACCCCGTCGAACGTGACTCCTGGTGGAAGGGACTGAAGCCGTGAGTTTTCACAGTGAGAACCAGGCTGCCAAACCCCCAGCGGAAGCACGAAGTGGCGGTCTAAAACCTTTGCCCCAAAAATGGGCATGCGGCGAAACAGAGCCCGAAACGGGGGATTCCACCGAATTTACCTGGTCAAAGGGAAAAGTGGTCCCCCCCCCCCAAGCCCAGGTCGAACGTCCCTGAAAGCCCCGGACCTTCCTCCACCTCCCCGGAAGCCGAGGTCCAGGCCCTCCGGCTACGATCAGCGCCGACTCCGCTCTTCCCCGTTCCCCCAAGCGCGAACGCTCGCGCTCCGGAGGGTGTCCACCTTCACGGCGTAGTGCGTCCTGCTGCGAGCAGGGTTCCGTTTTTGGAGACCGCTCGGGGAACCCCGTTTTTTTTGCAGGACGTCCAAGCCGGCCGATTGAAAAGAAGGTCGAAGGAAGGGAATGGAATGGTTGAAAAAAAATGACAAGTGATGATGACATGATGACTCTTGATTAAAAGAAAAGGACATATGGATTGTAATCTTGTTTCCTATGGAGGGGGGCCCATTAATATCAGTCCACACGTTCACTTGGACTTCCCCTGCCAAGCTCTGCCGAGCTCAACAACTCGGTTCATCGATTCATTGCATGCAAGGCACGAGATGCTGAATCCATGGCCGCGCTCAGTTCGATCGCCCATCCACGGTGAAAAATTGAAAACATCACAGCGGGTCCCGCCGAGACGCGGAGACTGGCCAACATTCGTGTCCTTTGGTTTTGGCGCTGGTGCAAAAAGGATGGACCAGCAAGCCGAACTGCTGGAGAAGCGAATCGGTGAATTTGTTTTGGTCTTATTAAACTGTGATAGGCCAGAAGTTCATGAGAACCTCAGGCATCCAAAAGTTCGAGTTTCTTCGATCATCCCAAAGCTGTTGCAAACCACCTCATCACCCTAACACCACTCAAGTGTGCTTCCTCACTGCGCCATGGAAATCCACATCAGAAGCTCCCAACTCCGCACCACCAAATTCCCCCAGCTCCGCTCCAGTGCTCGCCCCGCGCCGCAAAAGGGGTTCGGCGAACTCTCTCGGCTCCTCTCTTGGAGGGCCAACCTCTTTCGCTCGAAGAGTGCATTCACCTGCAGCCGGTCGCTGTCAGACAGGTTGCGTTTGAACACCTCCTGGAAGGATGCAAAGCTCTTTAAAATCACCTTGGAGGAAGAGTTATGAGGATGAAGTTGACGCAAGCGAGTTATGAGTCACACACCATTCCGATGTACCTTTTGTCTTGACACACTTGGTTTGGGGCTTATGACTGCAGACTGGCTGAACAAGGTCCTGCTTGTGAATGAACTGCCCGAATCGAGCTCTTTGGAATCCTTAAAAGCCAGCAGATACCATGAGATACCCTGAGATAGACCTAGATACCTAGATTCGACCTCGATCTTGGGGAACCGGTGAGCCACTGCCCCCCCCTCACTTCGTCACGTCGTCGCCTTCGTCGTCGAGGAGCGGAGCTCCTGAGCAACGTACTCCAGAAACGGTGCACTCAGCGCAGACCGCGCTCTGTGGCGGCGTGACGAAGCGGAACATCACCGCTCGCATTTGGTCGACGATAAAACCTTTTCAGATCCACTCGTCAGACAGAGTCAGACCATCTTCCCTGAACGAGAAGACGCATCGCCCCTCTTTTGAGGACCGGAGTCCAGTCCGAAGACCTAAACAGGTGGTGACGAACGAAAGAACTCCACAAATGATTTCAGAAAGTGCACCTTCCAGGGGTCACCAGACGGGGTACTGTTTCGTCCCATCCAGTGAGTGGATGTGACGTTCGGGCACCCCGACTTCCTCCGTTCGTTCGGCACCCCGTCTTGTGACCTTCCATGGTTTTCCACATGCCCTCTGAGTGCATGGTCAACACACAGAACACCGACGTCCATCCACTGATCCACTGATCCACTCCATTCCAGTCCGGCTTTGGCTTATGAGAAAAGGAGAAAACCAACTGATATTCAGTTCGCCAACTGACTAAACACGAAACGAAACGCTGCACGGCCATCAGACCAGCCACTGAAACAGACAGAAACTCAGACCCCGGGTCTACCCACAGCAGCTCCAAAGCCATGTTTACAAAAGAGATGTCGCACCTGAAGGCGTCCCAAGTGTTTCTTCATCTCGGTGGCCACCCGGGGTGCTGTGGCCTGCGCGTCCGTGTTCTGCCAATTTCGACGATCTCCAGTCACCATCCAAAGTCCTATGGCGGATCCCAAATGATACCAGCCATGCTTTCCTACTTCCAAAGCCAACACCCTTTAAGAAACCATGGCTCCGCTCTCTGCTCCACTTCTTCCTTGCCCCCCACCCAAAAAACGCTCACCTTTCGTGCCGTTCCCTTTTCGCTCGCCCCCCATGTTGCCATCGCAACCCGTGGGGCGCCTTCACCCCACTCGCCAAGGCCCAGACTTGCGCCGTCAACGCCGAGGCCTCCGGACCAGCTCGGTGCGAAGTCGTCGGGCCAGAGACGCCGGAGGAGTCGTGGTGGGGGGGGGGGGGGCAGAGCTGTTCATCGAAGAAAAGAGAAACAGTGGTGTTGGTTGAGACGGCACAATATGAAACAAGGGTTTTTCGTGGCTAAGAAACGAAACTAAGGGTATAGTTTAGCGGGTATAAGAGGAGCTACATGTCTTGTGAAGGCTCCTTTCTCCGTGGGATCCACCACTGGGCGTGGGATCAAGCCTCTCAGGCTCCATGTTCGGGACTCAGGAGGAGAAGCAACTACTGGAGGAGTCATCAAACATCATCCAAGCGTTCAAAGTATTTCAAACAACGGTCTTGAAGCTCCCCATGGTCTGAAGGGTCTTGACCATCCGGAAAAAGAAAGAAACATCAAATACATCAAATCAATCACCCTTCCCTTTGTTACTACTAGCGTCCTTGTTCCTAGTAGTAATGTAATAGCGATGGTCTCCCCCCTAATAGCGTCCTTGTTCCTAGTAGTAATGGCCTCCAACCTTTAATAGCGATGGCCTCCCCCCTAAAAACGCGTCCTTGTTCCGAATAATATGTTTTCAAAAAAAGAACGAGGACGAGCCTTCTTGGCCACAACCCCAAAACCTTGCAGGGAAACCAAAAAACACGTCTCCCCTCCTCGAAGTCCATGGGTTCCATGGCTCTCAGCACGGCCAACAAGTGGTCCACCAAATCCAAATGGGCACCTGAACCGAAAAACGAGGAACCAAAAACAGACACGACATAAACTGCACCAAAAAAATGGCTCCGTTGAAACACACGGAAAATATGGACAAAGTGTGTTTTCTTTTTTCGCACAAGCTCTTCCCGCTGAGTCTTCAAGTAGAAGAGTCGTCCCGCTTGACTTCTTCGCTCGAACACTTCGGCCAAGTGACCCGGTTCGAACCACCACGGAGGACACTGACCGTGTTGGACCAACACCCGGCGAACGACCCCTCTTCGACCACGGTCACGCAGGTGCGCGCTCTTGCGAGGCGGGAAGAGCGAGGCGTGGAGCGAGGTCGGGCGTTGAAAGCGACTGGATGTCCAAAGAGGAAGAGATCACTCCAACAAGAAGACATGTGACATGAGTCCTATTTCCAATGACTGCAGACGACTAAATTAGAAAGGATGAGATCAGAAAAAGAGATTGAGCTCTTGAAGATCTTATGTTCACGTCTTGCGCGCCAGGTCACTTACAGACCTGACAAAGTCCTTGGCAAACTGCGTGAGGCCCTGAGCGAGATTGGATGCATTTGAGGGTGCTACTTGTGCAACCTAGTATTCAAAAAGAACTGACTTACCTACAATTGAGATACAGCACCTCCCGACTTGCAAGTGCAAGTCTTATTTTCTTGTGAGCTTTGCTCAGGCGCTTCCTGTGTGAGGTTTTAAGCTTTTGATACAGTGATACACTCCCAAGACAGTCGTAAAAAATTTCCCCTGCGCAGTTCTGCAAAACACCTTGCTCTTTGTATCTCATCATGTAGACTTTTGATGAATAAACCCCCCCCCTAGACATGGATTGTAAACCTCTGAAGCGGGCCGGTAGAGTCGAATTACAATCAAAGAGTCTACATGGCTTTGTATTAGAATAGCGAGACTTTGCAAGGGACTGGAAGCGTTTTCTTAGACCGGAACCCCTTTGTTTGGGGGGTCCAGGGGTCCACCTATCAAAAGTGGTCATCTCCTTCGTTGCTCTCGATTTCTGCTTCCACCACGCCCCTCCCATCGACGAAAGCAACCTGCGAGATCATGACGTCGTGCTCCAGCTGATGCTGGCGCTCCACATCCTCTCCCCCGCACGGCTTTGATGGAAGCAAAGCTTTGTGGCTACATTGACCAACCGGAAGTCTGTGGAGAAGAATGGGAAGTCTGGAGGATGTTCTGAATGTTTGGCGATAGTCTGGAGGAGCTCCAGGATGTTGATGTTCACTTTCTGGACCATTTGGAGAAGCACCCAAGAAAATAAAATCCAAATTCTCAGGCTTGAGTTCTTGGGGCATGAGTACTCAAAAAATAATCGTTCACTCAACTTTCTATACCACCCAAAAAGAACTTGAACGGCGCAAATCCCCAAGACTGTTTTGGAAAAGTCCCTATACAAAAAAAACGACTTTGGGAAGACTGAGCCCTTCGAGTTCCGAAAAGTGGAAAGTCATGTACACAGCGTCCGAAGCCCGGCCGGGCAACTGAATCAGCCCTCGGACGTTCCGCAAACCGAGCCGTTCCGACCCCCGGCATTCCGCACCGGTTCCGCATGGTTTCCGCACGGCTCCTCGCTGCCCAAGTGCACCTCCTCACGGCCCTGGCGGCGTGGAACTTACTCCAACGGGGCTCCTATTGATCTTTGGGGGTTGGGAAGCGGAAGGCCTGGATGCTAGCGATTGTTGGCGATGGATGGGCTAGAAACGGATGGGGCGAACGAAAAGCGGAAGGCCGTAGCCGGCCAGGAAAAGAGGCATCCGTTAGGCGATTATGTGGGGGTGGCTGGTCCAAAGTCCTGCAAGAAGAACGTGAAGACAGCAACTAGGCTTGTTCAATGTTGCATGTTCCACTTCAAGAACTGTTTTTGCCGGCCAACAGTCCCCAATTGCTCAAAGTAACTACTCGTCACAACAAAGACATTGCTGGGCTTACACTTGGGCACATGCCTCTGTTCATTCATGGCACAGTTCATGCATGGCTCGGTCCCGGTGGCAGCTGGAGAATAGACCTGACCTGGCGAAAAGTACCGGGGTGGCAGTAAAATAGGATCAAATCTTAATGTATTTGCCCATATCTCTTGGTTCTTTTGCCCATATCTCAGGCATTTGGCACTGGGTGTGGACAGACTCAATCCCTCTTTCACTTAAAGCAATTGATGAGAATCAGGGCGTTACAGCTCTTGTGCCAGAGTTGTGTTTGCAATATTGTTTTGCACTCCCATTTGGAGATTATGGTTGTGCGTTCAATTATGGCTGTGCGTTTGTATCGCATAGGTGCTCCAACGGTGCAACATACTCCACTTTCTTGCACACTAGCTGCCCCATCGCCTCACCACACAGGCCAAGACTTTTACCCTCACGTCTGAGGACAAAATCTCTTGCACCTAAGCATGCAGGTCATTGCTAAGACTAGAGAATTTTTCAGTTGCAGTGCCAGCGCCGTGAAACATGGTCTATCTACCTGGTGAGGATGTGGGACATGAGCCCTAGGGCAAGAAACTTGAACAGAGTTTTAGAGACCGGACTCAACTCCTGTTGATCTCTGAACAGCTCCAATTTGCTTTACAACCAGACTTGAACCTGTTCTAGAATGAACACTCACCTGCAGTAGTTTTCATCTGAGTCATATTGGTGCCGATGGAGCCTCAACTTGAAGAAAAAGTGTTGGATGTTCGTTTTAAATCGCTCAACCGACTCAACCGCCCGTTCTCGGCCGCCGCGGGTTTCGGCCACCTGCTTCTCTGTTCGTGAGGAGAGCCGAGATCGCAGGGCGCTGGCCGCTGCGTGCATGGCGGCTGGCGGCGCCGAAGGGGCTAGGTGCGGCACCTCACCTGGTCTAAAGGGTTTGTTTGGATGTCTACGTGGCTTGGCACGCAGGTGTGTCTTCTTCTGAAAGCAAAAGCGGTTGGATCACAAGGAGAATTCACTCGTGAGTAAACGGGACAGGTGAGCAGCACGACAACTGACGAACTTTTGTGGCTACACTGCTCTTTTTCTCAGAAACTCTCATGCCCAATGTCTCTAAAACATGTGGATCCCAAAAGCTTCAATAAGGCTCCTTCTTCAAAGTTGGTGGTCCTTTTGCTTGAGCCGGCTCAGACCAAAGGGTCTCGTGAGTTCTGGTGTGGGCGTGGTCTTGTCGTAAACCCAAAACTGAAGGCCCTGACAGCCCGCGCGCAGTCTTTCTGTTTGGGTGGGTGAGTGGGTGGGTGGGTGGATGGGAGGGAACAAATTTGCTAAAGTTGAACCTCTTCCAAGACTATTCAATCGACAGAAGGTTGCCAAATGGCCAATGGTGTCGAAGGGCAGGCAGCAACTCATCACTTTATCTTGCCTTAGGGTTCTCAAAGCACAACATTGGAACCAACGAGAGTTCAAGTCAAGGCCGCATTCTTACCCAAGTTTGCTAGCGAGAAGATATAAGTTTGTGCAAAGTCCAGAGGGACGAAGTGGATGGTAGCTGCCAAGCCTGACAATAAAGCACCAACCATTGTCAACTGTTCCAAATGTTTCTGGAAGAGATCAATCAGCCAGGATCCAAGCTGACCCTAGCAGCTCCTTGAGACACCTTGACTTGCAATGGGCAAACGCTATTGGGGCTTGCAAAGGGTGAGAGTTGACCAAAAAGTTTCAGGGCAGCAACTGAGAGGACGAGCAAAGCAATCCAGTCAGCAATCGATCCGACCCAGTTTTCCAAATGGTTTCAAGCATGGCCAGTGGAACGTGACATGCCGTTCGGACCAGCCATCCCAAACTTGATTGCAGCAGATCAGAACAGATCTTTTTGAAACGCGATGAAGAAGCAATGTCAAACAGGTAAAGTAAAACACCACCTCCTCCTCCTCCCTCCTCCCTCCTCCCTCCTCCCTCCTCCCCCTCCTCTCCCTCCTCTCCCTCCTCTCCCTCCTCTCCCTCCTCTCCCTCCTCTCCCTCCTCTCCCTCCTCTCCCTCCTCCCCC